TTCTTTGAGCTCGTTTCAACCGCACTTTATGGTATAGGGGCGTTGATTGTAGTCTAGTGGTTAAAGTGTTCGCTCGTCACGCCGAAGACGCGGGTTCGATTCCCCACACGGGTACAATGTGTGAAGCCCATTTCTGGTGCCCCCCTCTGTGATATTGCTGGAATACTGCTAAAAGCGGCTTAAAACCACACTCACTCATTCAATCACTTGAATTATAATCTTGGTTAACAAGCGTGCATTTATTCAGATCTGCTCTTCTCCCGTTTTTTTAAACATGTTCCGTCCTTTACAAGCCCAATCGACAGCAATATCTACCATTCATCCATTCCTGCCCAAGCAGGCGTGATGGATTTAAGCAGTTTTTACAGGTATATGTTGGTCGTAGTTCACGCACTTGACATCTCAAGAGTCACAGGTGAATATCATGTCCCATGGGTCGGTCTTGTCATCGGATTATGTATCGTGGGCAGAACACGGACGATAACGTGGATTTTTACACTCGTGTTAGGATTCCAAAAGCATTCAATTACACATGGATGTAATCTAGACAGTCAGGACATGTGTTGCTTAAGTCATATGCTTAGGACAGGTTTTTTTGTTTTTTGGTTCTCAAATATTTTGATGAAATATATTGTTCGGTGTGTAGAAAACAAACTAACATAAATTTCCTATTATGTTTGTTGTCATCAAGAGGTTACCTGAATGCCGCTATATTGCCGATCTAATGTATGCATGTTGAAACAAAGCTTGTGTCGTTGCGTAACCTACGATCTTCAGGTTGACCAATTGTGTTCGAAATATTTTGCGGCGAACGCTTCCATTTTCGCAAAACTTATGGAGTGGATATTGGCCAACTACATGGATATACTTACCTGGTATATGCTTTCTGCCTTTCCAGTTTTTTTATGCTTGGCGTATATGTAAACCAATTTTGAAATGCCCAGCACGATTAAGATGGATAGGGTTATGTAGTGGTGGGAGGAGAAGATTAGAGGTGGATCTATGACTGGAATATGTAAGCTGTAATCTGCAGGATTTTCACACTTTGATACTCGAACCACCAGCGTACAATCCTAGACCAGCACAGCCAACACGTTTTCCAGTGACCAAAACTGATTTTTGATATTAAATACAGTGAAACCCACTTAATCTGGACTGTACCTTTCCAGAAATCGGTTTCTGATATCATTTAATTACAACTAGTCGTACCGCCGTCATTTGATTACTTCTAGTCGTGTCACTGTTAGTGCCACCATCATTAATTGCTACTAGTCGTGCCACTGTTAAAACCAGAAACATGTAAATACTTAGTCGTGCCACTGTTAATACCAACAACAATAATTACTATTAGTCGCGCTACTGTTAATATACGATCCCTATGTAATTACTACTAGTTGTACCACCATCATTTAATTACTACTAGTCGTCCAACTTTCATTTAATTATTACTAGTCGTACAACTTTCATTTAATTGCTACTAGTCGTACCACTTTCATTTAATTATTACTAGCCGTACCACTTTCATTTAATTACTACTAGTTGTACAACTTTCCTTTTATTATTACTAGCCGTACCACTTTCATGTTATTACTACTAGTCGTACCACTTTCATTTAATTACAACTAGCCGTACCACTTTCATTTAATTACTACTAGTCGTACCACTTTCATTTAATTACTACTAGTCGTACCTCTTTCATTTAACTATTACTAGTCGTACCACTTTCATTTAATTATTACTAGTCGCACCACGTTCATTTAATTACTACTAGTCGTACCACTTTCATTTAATTACTACTAGCCGTACCACTTTCATTTGATTATTACTAGTCGTACCACTTTCATTTAATTACTGCTAGTCGTGTTGCTGTTAGTGCTACCATCATTTAATTGCTACTAATCGTGTCACTGTTAATAGTAATATCATTTGATTACTTCTAGTCGTGCCACTGTTAATACCACCAACGTGTAATTACTACTAGTCGTGCCATTGTTGATAGATTATCCCTATTTAATTACTAGTAGTCGTACATCACCATTCAATTAGTACTAGTAGTACCACCGCCATTTTATTAACCACTAGTGGTACGGCCGTTAATAAATGATACTAGGTGTGCCACTGTTAGTACCATCATCATTTAATTTATATTAGCCGTACCACTTTCATTTAATTACTACTAGTCGTACCACTTTCATTCAATTACTACTAGTCGTACCACTTTCATTCAATTACTACTAGTCGTACCACTTTCATTCAATTACTACTAGTCGTACCACTTTCATTTACTTACTACTAGTCGTACCACTTTCATTTACTTACTACTAGTCGTACCACTTTCATTTAAATACTACTAGCCGTACCACTTTCATTCAATTACTACTAGTCGTACCACTTTCATTCAATTACTACTAGTCGTACCACTTTCATTTACTTACTACTAGTCGTACCACTTTCATTTAATTACTACTAGCCGTACCACTTTTATTCAATTACTACTAGTCGTACCACTTTACTACTAGCCGTACCACATTCATTTAATTACTACTAGTCGTACCACTTTCATTTAATTACTACTAGACCACTTTCATTCAATTACTACTAGTCGTACCACTTTCATTTACTTACTACTAGTCGTACCACTTTCATTCAATTACTACTAGCCGTACCACATTCATTTAATGACTACTAGTCGTACCACTTTCATTTAATTACTACTAGACCACTTTCATTCAATTACTACTAGTCGTACCACTTTCATTTACTTACTACTAGTCGTACCACGTTCATTCAATTACTACTAGTTGTACCACTTTCATTCAATTACTACTAGCCGTACCACTTTCATTCAATTACTACTAGTCGTACCACTTTCATTTACTTCCTACTAGTCGTACCACTTTCATTTACTTACTACTAGTCGTACCACTTTCATTTAATTACTACTAGCCGTACCACTTCCATTTAATTACTACTAGTCGTACCACTTTCATTTAATTACTACTAGTCGTACCACTTCCATTTACTTACTACTAGTCGTACCACTTTCATTTAATTATTACTAGTCGTACCACTTTCATTCAATTACTACTGGTCGTACCACTTTTTCATTTACTTACTACTAGTCGTACCACTTTCATTTAATTACTACTAGTCGTACCACTTTCATTTAATTACTACTAGTCGTACCACTTTCATTCAATTACTACTAGTCGTACCACTTTCATTTAATTACTACTAGTCGTACCACTTTCATTTAATTACTACTAGTCGTACCACTTTCTTTCAATTACTACTAGTCGTACCACTTTCATTTAATTACTACTAGTCGTACCACTTTCATTTAATTACTACTAGTCGTTCCACTTTCATTTACTTATTACTAGTCGTACCACTTTCATTCAATTACTACTAGTCGTACCACTTTTATTTAATTACTACTAGTCATACCACCGCCATTTTATTAACCACTAGTCGTACCGCCGTTATTAAATGATACTAGCTGTGCCACTGTTAGTACCACCATCATTTAATTACTACTAGTCGTACCACCATCATTTAATTACTACTAGTCGTACCACTTTCATTTAATTACTACTAGTCGTACCACTTTCATTTAATTACTACTAATCGTACCACCATCATTTAATTACTACTAGTCGTACCACCATCATTTAATTACTACTAATCGTACCACCGCCATTTTATTAACCACTAGTGGTACCGCCGTTATTAAATGATACTAGGTGTGCCACTGTTAGTACCATCATCATTTAATTTATATTAGTCGTACCAATTTCATTTAATTAGAACTAGTCGTACCACCGCCATTTAATTATTACCAGTCGTACAATCTCCATTTTATTATTAGTCGTTGTGCAATTTTAATACCCCCATTCACTGATGAAAACAACAACATGCTAATATATTGTACTCGGGATCCGAACTCATTACCTCCTGGGATTAAAATGGGAGGTGCCCACTAAACGAGTGTAAACTTTAATATCTTAAATCTTACAGCTTACAGGGGCAACGGTAATGATTATATACTGGTCAGTTTCAACATGTTTACGAGAAAGTCCAGCCTAAAAAGTACACACTAAGCTGCACTCTGAGCCTACCACAAACTCCTATGACATTTTTATCAGTCGGAAGGCTGCTCTCAATGCTTTAGGGTACAATTAACAGCGACCTGTGCTGTGGGCACACTCGTGAAGTGTTATCGATGACTTGATAGCTTTGAACTACCGTCTGAATTATCGTCTACGTCATTAGAAAGTCCTGTCACCAGTTATATGCCCGCTGATTAGAGATGAAATATGACAAAATGGCAAAACTGTAAATCTGAGCCGGAATATTAATGTATGCCTATTTTAGATTGTTGGTATTCTTGGTGGGGAGAAGATATTATGAGTCCTTCCTCGTTATTTCCCTTTTTAATAAAAAAATAATACATTGTCCTACTTCCCAGAGATACAGAGCAACTTTAAGGAATAGAGTTTTTATTTACTCCACTTTTAGCAATATTCCAGCAATATCACGGCGGGGTACACCCGGGTCTTCAGCGCGACAAGCAAATGCTTTAACCAATAGGTTACCACACCGCCCCTTTTAGCCTTATTACGTGTCTCCGACCAGCAGGTTCTAATCTGAGTAAGTGAAGGTAACTTTTGTACCATTGCAACAGCGATACAGAAAGGTTACAGTCAAAACGTTGATGCCTTATACTGCGAAGTAAATGTTCAAATAGGCTATCGATGAAAAACTTCCTTATTGTCACCATGCTTTATGTTTCATCGGCTGCGATCTGTTCTGCACGTGCAGTGGCATGAACTGCCCGGATTACCTGCAACATTTGGTGTTTGTATACGTTACTATCGACTAGATTAGTTACAATACAACAGCATGTATTACCATGGAGACTAAAGTTGATTTGTAGGTCAATGTTTTTCATGTAGTTTTGTGGAGTTTATTGTGTTCTCAGTTCCATGTTATAATTTCAGATTCCGCAATATGGCGCTGTTGCCTCTGGTCCTATGTTTGTGCCTGGGTTTGGCGGAAGGTGCGAGTGAAAAAGGTGAGTGTGTGGCCTGTATTACACATTCTTGTGAATAAGATGTAGCATTTTCCATAGAAGTTCCGTGATATAACCGAACTAAGCACAAATGACAAGACCCTGAACCCAGAAAGAGTTAAAATTGGTCTTCAGAAACCCAAACTTGTTGTAAGAGGCGACTGACGGGATTTGGTGGTCAGGCTCGCTGAGTTAGTTGACACAAGTCATTGTATCCCAGTTGCGTAGATAGATGTTCATACTGTTGATCACTGGATTATTTATAGACCGCCGCCATATAGCTGGAACAGTGCCGAGTGTGGTGTGGAGCAAGAAACAAGCAAATACAATGCTTGAAGTAGAGAATTGCGTAGATCGATGCACAGGATGTCAATTACTGAAGTTGGGCTATGGGGTAGCCTAGTGGTTAAAACGTTGGCTCGTCGCGCTGAAGACCCGGGTTCGAATCCCCACATGGGTACAATGTGTGAAGCCCATTTCCGGAGTCCCCCCACCGTGATGTTGCTGGAATATTGCTAACAGCGGCGTAAAACCAAACTCAGTCAGTCAGTCAATTACTGAAATGTCTGGTTCAGACTCGAATATTCACTGACTGATACTATATAGCTTGTCGTGAGAGGCTGGTCGGGTGGTCAGGCTTGCTGACTTGGTTGATGCTCATGCTGTTGATCACTGGATTGTCTGGTCCAGACTCGATTATCTACTGTGCGCTGTCATATGCCTGGAATAATAAATGTTGGAGCGACAGTATGAAGTTGGAAAGTCAGTAAGGAAGATTACAGCTTTATGGATAACAACTTCTTGTTCGTGTACATTCTTAAAACAGTTAGTTTGATAACGGTGTAAGAATCTACACAGAACCAACGCTCTATGGAATAAACAAGAAGTTGTCATCCATAAATATATAATCTTCGTTAACCTGAATATGTCCGAATGTGGCCTTATACAACATTCATTCATGATCCACTTTGATTCGGGGCCGTGTGTACCTAATATGGGTACTATGTGCAGAACATCTGAAGTGGGCTTCAAAACATTTGACCCATGTAGGGAATCGAACCTGGGTCTTCAGCGCGACGAGTAAATGCTTTAACCACTAGGCCCCCCCTCAGTCAGTGATATTGCTGGAATATTTTAAAACCATGCTCCTTCTGACTCAGTTACAAAATACAGCGTTAGTGCAGCAGGACTGAATACACTCACACTTTCAACCAAGGTAGCTGTAACCACCGTTTGAAGATTACCATATATTTTAGGGATGGTGGGCTGCCAAGTATACTGAAGATCCTCGTTCGTTTCCCCACTTGAGTACAATGTCACTGCATATGTCCCCCCTTCTGTGCATGAATATTGTATGAACCGGCATAAAACCACTCTCCAGATTCTGGACACTCGTGATGATTCGTGTTAGAATTGGAAACCTATGCTTGTTGTAGAAGGCGACTAACGGGATCGGGTGGTTAGGCTTGCTATGCTGTCTTGGTTATTATTATTGGATATTTATATAGCGCACATATCCACGACCAGTACATGCTCAAGGCGCTGGTATTTTTTCCCTCGATCATTGAATGTCAACCTCAACGGCACATCTTACCTGGGATCATACAATTCTTGCTGCCACAAGGCGCACTGCGGCTCTCCCATCCTTACGAGGTACCCATTCACAGCTGGGTAGACTGGGACGTTACCCGTGTACCCGCAACTAGGTGTTTGCATGTGGCCACCATCTGGTCATATACCAACGGATTCGTGGGTTCTTTTAAGTGCACTGTACAGTAGGGGATGTGACACAAAGTTGACTCCAAGGTTTTTTACACCCGGTCACAGGTAGGCTCGATCCCGGCACCTTGAGCTCGCTGGATCACTAGCCTGGCGCCTTAGCCAGCTCGCCCACCATGCCCCATGTGGTTGACACATGTCATCGTATCCCAAATGCGTAGATCGATAATCATGATGTTGATCACTGGATTGTCTGGTCAAGACTCGATTATTTACTGATCGCCGTCATATAGCTGAAATATTGCTGAGTACGCCTTAAACAAACAACAGCAACAACAACAACAACAAAAACCAAAACGAACGAACTTGTTTCTGGATGAAAAGGTGCTGGTGTAATATTGGCACTGTTGTGTATATTCGCAGAACATTCCGTCCACCACGATTTCCGGTACCCATTCATCATCGATGCAGCGGAGCAGGAGTTCGAAGGGCGTGTGTGTTCCAACATGGAGCTGTTTGCTCTCATACCGGTGGAACCGGAGGACCTAGAAAAGGACCTGCAGGGCGGAGCCTGTGTCACTAACGTGGAGCAATATCTCAAGATTGACGTGCGCAATGTGTCGTGGGTAAGCTGTTGTTGGCTGTAGTTGTAAATTGTCCTTTAGTGTGATCCCATGATTATCTCCTGTTGTAGAACCCCATGATTATCTCCTGTTGTAGAACCCCATGATTATCTCCTGTTGTAGAACCCCATGATTATCTCCTGTTGTAGAACCCCATGATTATCTCCTGTTGTAGAACCCCATGATTATCTCCTGTTGTAGAACCCCATGATTATCTCCTGTTGTAGAACCCCATGATTATCTCCTGTTGTAGAACCCCATGATTATCTCCTTTTGTAGAACCCCATGATTATCTCCTGTTGTAGAACCCCATGATTATCTCTCCTGTTGTAGAACCCCATGATTATCTCCTGTTGTAGAACCCCATGATTATCTCCTGTTGTAGAACCCCATGATTATCTCCTTTTGTAGAACCCCATGATTATCTCCTGTTGTAGAACCCATGATTATCTCCTGTTGTAGAACCCATGATGATTATCTCCTTTTGTAGAACCCCATGATTATCTCCTTTTGTAGAACCCCATGATTATCTCCTGTTGTAGAACCCCATGATTATCTCCTGTTGTAGAACCCCATGATTATCTCCTGTTGTAGAACCCCATGATTATCTCCTGTTGTAGAACCCCATGATTATCTCCTTTTGTAGAACCCCATGATTATCTCCTGTTGTAGAACCCCATGATTATCTCCTTTTGTAGAACCCATGATTATCTCCTGTTGTAGAACCCCATGATTATCCCCTTTTGTAGAACCCCATGATTATCTCCTTTTGTAGAACCCCATGATTATCTCCTGTTGTAGAACCCCATGATTATCTCACTTTTGTAGAACCCCATGATTATCTCCTGTTGTAGAACCCCATGATTATCTCCTGTTGTAGAACCCCATGATTATCTCCTGTTGTAGAACCCCCATGATTATCTCCCTGTTGTAGAGCCCCATGATTATCTCCTGTTGTAGAACCCCATGATTATCTCTCCTGTTGTAGAATCCCCATGATTATCTCCTGTTGTAGAACCCCATGATTATCTCCTTTGTAGAAACCCCATGATTATCTCCTGTTGTAGAACTCCCATGATTATCTCCTGTTGTAGAACCCCATGATTATCTCCTGTTGTAGAACCCCATGATTATCTCCTGTTGTAGAACCCCCATGATTATCTCCTGTTGTAGAACCCCATGATTATCTCCTGTTGTAGAACCCCATGATTATCTCCCTTTTGTAGATTAGATTCCATGATTATCTCCTGTTGTAGAACCCCATGATTATCTCCTGTTGTAGAACCCATGATTATCTCCTGTTGTAGAACCCCATGATTATCTCCTGTTGTAGAACCCCATGATTATCTCCTGTTGTAGAATTCCATCATTATCTCCTGTTGTAGAATCCCATGATTATCTCCTGTTGTAGAACCCCATGATTATCCCCTGTTGTAGAACCCCATGATTATCTCCTTTTGTAGAACCCCATGATTATCTCCTGTTGTAGAACCCATTGATTATCCACTTCCTGTTGTAGAACTCCATGATTATCTCCTGTTGTAGAACCCATGATTATCTCCTGTTGTAGAATCCCATGATTATCTCCTGTTGTAGAATCCCATCATTATCTGTAGAATTTTGTAGAACCCCACCATTATCTTCTTTTGTTGTAGAATCCCATGATTATCTCCTGTTTGAATCCCATCATTATCTCCTGTTGTAGAATCCCATGATTATCTCCTGTTGTAGAACCCCATGATTATCTCCTGTTGTAGAATCCCATGATTATCTCCTGTTGTGTAGAATCATCATTATTTTCTCCTACTGTCATTATCTCCTGTTGTGCACAATCCTGTTGTAGAATCCTCATTATCTCCTTTGTAGAATCCCATCATTATATTTTGTTTTAGTCACATCAATATCTCCTGTAAAATCCAATCGTTGTCGTGTGTTGGAGAATAATATCGTTATTTCCTGTTGCAGAATCCCATCATTATCTCCTGTTGTGGAGCCCTACCATTATCTTCTGTTGAAGAATCCAGTCATTGTCTCCTGTTGTAGAATCCCACCATTATCTCCTGTTGTAGAATCCCACAATTATCTCCTGTTGTAGAATCCCATTATTATCTCCTGTTGTAGAATCCCACCATTTTCTCCTGTTGTAGAATCCCACCATTATCTCCTGCTTGTAGAATCATTATCTCCTGTTGTATCTACTATCTCCTGTTAGAATCTCATCATTATCTCCTGTTGTAGAATCCCATCCATTATCTCTCCTGTTGTAGAATCACATCATTATCCTGTTGTAGAATGCAGAATCACATCATTATCCCTTGTTGTAGAATCCCACCATTATCTATTGTTGCAGAATCACACCATTACCTCCTGTTGTAGAATCCCACCATTATCTCCTGTTGTAGAATCCATCATTATCTCCTGTTGTAGAATCCCACCATTATCTCCTGTTGTAGAATCCCACCATTATCTCCTGTTGTAGAGTCTCATCATTATCTCCTGTTGTAGAATCCCATCGTTATCTCCTGTTGTAGAATCCTGTTGTAGAACTCCATCGTTATCTCCTGTTGTAGAGTCTCATCGTTATCTCCTGTTGTAGAATCTCATCATTATCTCCTGTTGTAGAGTCTCATCATTATCTCCTGTTGTAGAATCACATCGTTATCTCCTGTTGTAGAATCTCATCGTTATCTCCTGTTGTAGAATCCCATCATTATCTCCTGTTGTAGAATCTCATCATTATCTCCTGTTGTAGAGTCTCATCATTATCTCCTGTTGTAGAATCACATCATTATCTCCTGTTGTAGAATCACATCGTTATCTCCTGTTGTAGAATCTCATCATTATCTCCTGTTGTAGAATCACATCATTATCTCCTGTTGTAGAATCTCATCATTATCTCCTGACTCCCATCATTATCTCCTGTTGTAGAATCTCATCATTATCTCCTGTTGTAGAATCTCATCGTTATCTCCTGTTGTAGAATCTCATCATTATCTCCTGTTGTAGAATCTCAGATTATCTCCTGACTCCCATCATTATCTCCTGTTGTAGAATCACATCATTATCTCCTGTTGTAGAATCACATCATTATCTCCTGTTGTAGAATCTCATCATTATCTCCTGTTGTAGAATCTCATCGTTATCTCCTGTTGTTGTAGAATCCATCATTATCTCCTGTTGTAGAATCTCATCATTATCTCCTGTTGTAGACATCATTATCATCGTTATCTCCTGTTGTAGAATCTCATCATTATCTCCTGTTGTAGAATCACATCATTATCTCCTGTTGTAGAATCTCATCATTATCTCCTGTTGTAGAATCTCATCGTTATCTCCTGTTGTAGAATCTCATCATTATCTCCTGTTGTAGAATCTCATCATTATCTCCTGTTGTAGAATCTCATCATTATCTCCTGTTGTAGAATCTCCTGTTGTCTCATCATTATCTCCTGTTGTAGAGAATCTCATCATTATCTCCTGTTGTAGAATCTCATCGTTATCTCCTGTTGTAGAATCACATCATTATCTCCTGTTGTAGAATCACATCGTTATCTCCTCCTCTGTTGTAGAATCATCTGATTATCTCCTGTTGTAGAATCTCATCATTATCTCCTGTTGTAGAATCTCATCATTATCTCCTGTTGTAGAATCTCATCGTTATCTCCTGTTGTAGAATCTCATCATTATCTCATTATCTCCTGTTGTAGAATCTCATCATTATCTCCTGTTGTAGAATCTCATCATTATCTCCTGTCTCCCATCATTATCTCCTGTTGTAGAGTCTCATCATTATCTCCTGTTGTAGAATCTCATCGTTATCTCCTGTTGTAGAATCTCACATCATTATCTCCTGTTGTAGAGTCTCATCATTATCTCCTGTTGTAGAATCTCATCATTATCTCCTGTTGTAGAATCTCATCGTTATCTCCTGTTGTAGAATCACATCATTATCTCCTGTTGTAGAATCCATCTCATTATCTCCTGTTGTAGAGTCTCATCATTATCTCCTGTTGTAGAATCACATCATTATCTCCTGTTGTAGAATCCCATCAATATCTCCTGTTGTAGTGTCTCATCATTATCTCCTGTTGTAGAATCTCATCGTTATCTCCTGTTGTAGAGAATCTCATCATTATCTCCTGTTGTAGAATCTCATCATTATCTCCTGTTGTAGAATCTCATCGTTATCTCCTGTTGTAGAATCTCATCGTTATCTCCTGTTGTAGAATCTCATCATTATCTCCTGAATATCTCCCATCATTATCTCCTGTTGTAGAATCTCATCATTATCTCCTGTTGTAGAATCCCATCATTATCTCCTGTTGTAGAATCTCATCATTATCTCCTGTTGTAGAATCTCATCATTATCTCCTGTTGTAGAATCCCATCATTATCTCCTGTTGTAGAATCTCATCATTATCTCCTGTTGTAGAATCCCATCATTATCTCCTGTTGTAGAATCTCATCATTATCTCCTGTTGTAGAATCTCCATCATTATCGTTATCTCCTGTTGTAGAATCTCATCATTATCTCCTGTTGTAGAATCTCATCGTTATCTCCTGTTGTAGAATCTCATCGTTATCTCCTGTTGTAGAATCACATCGTTATCTCCTGTTGTAGAATCATCGTTATCTCCTGTTGTAGAGTCTCATCGTTATCTCCTGTTGTAGAATCACATCGTTATCTCCTGTTGTAGAATCACATCGTTATCTCCTGTTGTAGAATCACATCGTTATCTCCTGTTGTAGAATCTCATCATTATCTCCTGTTGTAGAATCTCATCATTATCTCCTGTTGTAGAATCTCATCATTATCTCCTGTTGTAGAATCTCATCGTTATCTCCTGTTGTAGAGTCTCATCATTATCTCCTGTTGTAGAATCTCATCATTATCTCCTGTTGTAGAATCTCATTGTTATCTCATCATTATCCTGTTGTGACTCTCATCATTATCTCCTGTTGTAGAGTCTCATCATTATCTCCTGTTGTAGAGTCTCATCATTATCTCCTGTTGTAGAATCTCATCGTTATCTCCTGTTGTAGAATCTCATCCATCATTATCTCCTGTTGTAGAATCTCATCATTATCTCCTGTTGTAGAGTCCCATCATTATCTCCTGTTGTAGAATCTCATCATTATCTCCTGTTGTAGAATCATCATCATTATCTCCTGTTGTAGAATCTCATCATTATCTCCTGTTGTAGAATCTCATCTGTTGTTATCTCCTGTTGTAGAGTCTCATCGTTATCTCCTGTTGTAGAATCACATCGTTATCTCCTGTTGTAGAATCTCATCGTTATCTCCTGTTGTAGAGTCTCATCGTTATCTCCTGTTGTAGAATCTCATCGTTATCTCCTGTTGTAGAATCTCATCATTATCTCCTGTTGTAGAGTCTCATCATTATCTCCTGTTGTAGAATCACATCGTTATTATCTCCTGTTGTAGAATCTCATCATTATCTCCTGTTGTAGAATCTCATCATTATCTCCTGTTGTAGAATCACCATTATCTCCTGTTGTAGAATCTCATCATTATCTCCTGTTGTAGAATCTCATCGTTATCTCCTGTTGTAGAATCTCATCGTTATCTCCTGTTGTAGAATCACATCATTATCTCCTGTTGTAGAATCACATCGTTATCTCCTGTTGTAGAATCTCATCGTTATCTCCTGTTGTAGAGTCTCATCGTTATCTCCTGTTGTAGAATCACATCGTTATCTCCTGTTGTAGAATCACATCGTTATCTCCTGTTGTAGAATCTCATCATTATCTCCTGTTGTAGAATCCATCATCAATATCTCCTGTTGTAGAGTCTCATCGTTATCTCCTGTTGTAGAATCTCATCATTATCTCCTGTTGTAGAATCTCATCATTATCTCCTGTTGTAGAATCCCACCATTATCTCCTGTTGCACAATACCCTCATTATCTCCTTTGCTCAATCCCACCATTATTTTCTGTGGCATCTACATTGTATTTTGTAGATCTACCACTTGAACGAGATAATTCAAGCGTATTACCTCCTGCTTTCCGTATCGCACAAAAGAATGTATACAATGTTGGGGTTTGGGTGGATTTGTTTCTAGAAAGCAACGTTATTATTTAGATCAGAGTTTTGATTGTGGCTTACAAGTCAAAAGCATTGTGCACGTGTTGCCAAAACAGTACCATAATACCTCAATGTTTTAGAACCCCGATATTATTCACCACAAGAAGACGGACAGCCCCAGAACAACCACTACTATCATGCCTCCACACGGTGGCACCAAGCGCCCGCAGGGCGCCATCGTCGACCTCCCCGACGGCGTGGAGTTTGACGTCCTCAATACTGAACTCATCGACGTGGACGACGCCTACTTCCTTGTTGTCAGTAACCCTGATGTGATGCGGGAGAAAAAAGAAATACAGTTCTACGTAAGTCACTGTAGTTGATAGATTGGTTTTTATTACAATTTACGTCGTAACAGCCCCACTCAGCAATATTTCAGCTATATTGCGGCGGTCTGTAAACAATCGAGTCTGGACCAGACAATCCAGTGATCAACAGCATAAGCATCGATCTACGCAATAGGGATACGATGACATGTGTCAACCAAATCAGCGAGCCCGACCACCCGATCCCGTTAGTCGCCTGTTTCGACAAGCATGGGCTCCTGAAGACCAATTCTAACCCGGATCTTCACGGGTGTCAACCGGTTCGATGAAACTGACGCTACATAACCTTCATCTGTTTCAGGTTGTACTTGTGACGTCAGATACTAACCAGATTGTGTCCAACCCCTTGCCATTCGCCGTAAGGGTTGATCATCCCCCCGACGAGGGCCGACCCCACGGGGCAGCGATGTTTGCAGGCGTCCTCGTTCTCGTTATCATCCTCATTGCCTTCCTCATCCCCATCACCGTCTGTGTTAAACGACGACGAAAGGCAGGCAAACCTGTTTGCTCGTGCGGAAGCCCGGATGTCGAAAAGGACGAGCGCAAAGGTCACGTGAATAATGGTTACGTCACCGACACACGTGACGTCAGGACTGACTCGTCAGTTTCATCTGTTGATCCACATCAGACGATAGGAAGTCACCAGCTTAGGAGTGTCACGAAACTGAACTTTGAGCCAACGTGGCTAGATCCTCATTATAAAGAAATGGAAGAGAAGCCAGGCACCAGTGCCAACCGGATACCTCTAACGGGACAGCAGACAGCAGGTTGTAGTGGTTAAGCATACACAGACTGGACTTGACATCTGTTGTCTGAAACCGGAAGTCCGCGCGATGCAGTGATCATCAATTCAACAACAGATGGCATTGTTCACATTTAATAAAAGACAATAGTGTATTCACGAACAGGTTGGGAATACTAAAACTGTATGAAAAAGATGAGACGCGTACGTAATAAGAGTGAGTGAGTTTAGTTTTACGCCGCACTCAGCAATATTCCAGCTACATGGCGGCGGTCTTGAATAATCGGATCTGGACCAGATAATCCAGTGATCAACAGCATGAGCATCGATCTGCGCAATTTGGACACGATGACATGTGTCAACCAAGTCAAGGAGCCTGACCACCCGATCCCGTTAGTCGCCTCTTACGACAAGCATGGGTTACAGAAGAACAATTCTAACCCGGATCTTCACGGGTCACATGATAAGGAATACGCTGAGCAGGTTCAAGTATATTAAAGGGGATGCACGGAACACGAGCCACTAAACATGATAGAATGACTGGTACAGTTGATGTGATTGTAACATGAGGAAGGGTTGGCGTCTGCTCCCTCACCCACCTTCACAACCCCTACAATCACCATCCAAATGTCTTTGGGGCTTCTGTGACTATACCTGGTCGTCGCACTCCCGTAGTATTCATTTCAGCATTGAAAGCCTGGAAGTAGGCCCTGTTAACCGAAGTACATGGATGCATTGTAGTTAAACATCAAGGTACATCGTGGCACAGTGGTTATGCGCAGGTAACCGGAATCACATAGAGGCACCAGGATAAAATCTATAGACCCGGAAGGACATCAGTGCACAGTGGTAAGCCCTAGTAACCGGAAGTACGTCGTGAAAACTGTAAGAACTTTCATTATTTCACTCATCCGATACTAGTGACGTCTTGAAAGGACAAGTTGAAACTATCTGTCTCAAGCCAGGCCATAGACGAAATCCCATACATCGTGTTAACGGCGATGTCTTCATTCCTGTATACGCCACTAAAAACAACTCTTGTTTAATATCAAATGTGTTGTTTATTTATTATCGACTTAATTAGAAGAAGTACGGCCAAACACGTTCTGTCGGTAGTGACGATAGTCCAATACCCTTACAACACTTTCTGGGCCGATCCATGCACGCCTGTTGTGATTAATAATCAAGTTAATTCGTTATATTCCGTGTGAAATAAGTTCAAACCACGTGTGTATTGGAAAATGATTGTCACATTGATGTTGTTGTCGTTGAAGTCAGCCCCGTTACGAAGAAACATAGGGCAAGATTGTCAAAAGGGTTCAATGTGCGGTCATTTGACTGATCAGAATGTTAAAATCTGTTCCTTTTACAATTTTCCCAGAAATTATTGAGAAAATCTTTGTTTCCTAATACTGATAATTGAATTTAAAATAGGTGTTACATTATGTAGTAAGGTACTCAATATGGGAGGCAACTCTTGTAGGCTTGAGAATGAACCTAACTACATCAAGAGTTATCTCCCCCTGTGTAGCAGATTTGACAGCCGATATGACTTTGAAAGGGATGTGACTTATGCAAATTAACAGTTAGCTGGTAGACATGACATTCCTCTGTCTACAGTATACAGAACTTTGAAGAATATTCAGTCAGGAGTCAGAGATTCAGCCCAAGACAGGGGCAGGGAGGCCAAGGTAGTTCAGTACTACAGATCGCCGACGACGGTCAGATTGTGAGTTGGGGAAAACAGAAATGCGTTGAGAATATTAGAAATGAGATGATGAATAGAGGAAGTCCTCGGGTATGTAATGAAACCCTTAGACAAGAATTATAAAGACTTAACTGGGTGAAAAATTCCCTCACAATGGGTGATAGGTGCACTAAACGAAAGACGTTTTAACTGGTGAAGGGCTCACGAAAATCATGATTGGGATAATGTTGTCTTTTGATGAAACGCCCAAAACAGCCCGAAACTTCACATGCGGGGTGGGATATCATCACGTGGAGTGACGCCGTTGTGTATTTTCACTGGCAATTTCACGAAGGAACGATATGTTGACATCTTAAATGGTCACCTCCTTCCAACGGCCCGAGTAAAACTTCTGTAATTTATATACATGTATTAGATATTTGCCGAAACAACTTTCTCAATATTTTCTGGGATCTGGGAATACTACTATGTAAGTTCATATATATTTGTACCTGAACAGACGTACACAAGAAATTCCACACCTGGAGTTTGGGGATTATTTTCGACAAATTATTTCGAAGAGTGATTTAATTGTGACTTACAAGTCATAAGCGAATCGCCGCGAAAGCCACAATGAGTAAGGGAATCAATACCGTTTTTTTCAAATAAGCGTCAACCATCGATCACAATGGATTGAAATTGTTTTAGTGACATGTCCTTTGATTGTTTAGATTTACGCAGCTTTTAGCAATGTTCCAGCAATATTACGGCGGGAGGACACCAGAAATAGGCTTCACACACTGCGCATGTGGGGAATCGAACCCGGGTCTTCGGCGTGACGAGCGACCGCTTTAACCACTAGGCAACCCCATCGCCCCTCATAAACAGATGCAGAGCAAGATTACACGTATTATCTTAATTTGGTCTAAGGCAGAAAAACGTTGTCATACACCATAGATCAGGCACTACTTGTGATCGACACACTTCACAATTTTCGGAGTGTATCTGTTGTCAGCGTTGGTGACGTTGTGTACCTGTTGTCAGTGTTGGTGACGTTGTGTATCTGTTGTCAGTGTTGGTGACGTTGTGTATCTGTTGTCAGTGTTGGTGACGTTGTGTATCTGTTGTCAGTGTTGGTGAAGTTGTGTATCTGTTGTCAGTATTGGTGACGTTGTGTACCTGTTGTCAGTGTTAGTGACGTTGTGTATCTGTTGTCAGTGTTGGTGACGTTGTGTACCTGTTGTCAGTGTTGGTGACGTTGTGTATCTGTTGTCAGTGTTGGTGACGTTGTGTACCTGTTGTCAGTGTTGGTGACGTTCAGTGTTGCACCTGTTGTCAGTGTTGGTGACGTTGTGTATCTGTTGTCAGTGTTGGTGACGTTGTGTATCTGTTGTCAGTGTTGGTGACGTTGTGTACCTGTTGTCAGTGTTGGTGACGTTGTGTATCTGTTGTCAGTGTTGGTGACGTTGTGTACCTGTTGTCAGTGTTGGTGACGTTGTGTACCTGTTGTCAGTGTTGGTGAAGTTGTGTATCTGTTTTCAGTGTTGGTGAAGTTGTGTATCTGTTGTCAGTATTGGTGAAGTTGTGTATCTGTTGTCAGTGTTGGTGACGTTGTGTACCTGTTGTCAGTGTTGGTGAAGTTGTGTATCTGTTTTCAGTGTTGGTGAAGTTGTGTATCTGTTGTCAGTATTGGTGACGTTGTGTACCTGTTGTCAGTGTTAGTGAAGTTGTGTATCTGTTGTCAGTGTTGGTGACGTTGTGTACCTGTTGTCAGTGTTAATGACGTTGTGTACCTGTTGTCAGTGTTGGTGACGTTGTGTATCTGTTGTCAGTGTTGGTGACGTTGTGTATCTGTTGTCAGTGTTGGTGACGTTGTGTACCTGTTGTCAGTGTTGGTGACGTGTATCTGTTGTCAGTGTTGGTGACGTTGTGTACCTGTTGTCAGTGTTGGTGACGTTGTGTACCTGTTGTCAGTGTTGGTGACGTTGTGTACCTGTTGTCAGTGTTGGTGACGTTGTGTACCTGTTGTCAGTGTTGGTGACGTTGTGTACCTGTTGTCAGTGTTGGTGACGTTGTCAGTGTTGATGACGTTGTACCCTGTTGTCAGTGTTTATGACGTTGTGTACCTGTTGTCAGTGTTGGTGACGTTGTGTATCTGTTGTCAGTGTTGGTGACGTTGTGTACCTGTTGTCAGTGTTGGTGACGTTGTGTATCTGTTGTCAGTGTTGGTGACGTTGTGTACCTGTTGTCAGTGTTGGTGACGTTGTGTACCTGTTGTCAGTGTTGGTGACGTTGTGTACCCGTTGTCAGTGTTGGTGACGTTGTGTACCTGTTGTCAGTGTTGGTGACGTTGTGTACCTGTTGTCAGTGTTGATGACGTTGTGTACCTGTTGTCAGTGTTGGTGACGTTGTGTATCTGTTGTCAGTGTTGATGACGTTGTGTGTCTGTTGTCAGTGTTGATGACGTTGTGTACCTGTTGTCAGTGTTGGTGACGTTGTGTACCTGTTGTCAGTGTTGGTGACGTTGTCAAACGGTATTGTTGTCGTCCTGATTTCCAAGACAATGCCCACTGTTTGGAAAATCGCATTTTAGGCTGTTTGTGACTTTCTCGTGGGAGCCATTTTTCTTGTATTTCCCACTCCATCAGCATTTGTGAACAATTATGCACATCCAGAAAGGTTCATCCCAGTAGCAACGTGGCTTCTGACCGCGATTCCTTATCAGGATATATCAACACTTCAGTGTCAGTTCTCGATAGTTACCTTGCCGTCCTGTGTCTTATAAAATATGCCAGAACATGAAATATGTCAGTGACTCGTGATTCGCGGCAGGCGACTTTGCTGACCATTGTCCATGAACGTTTCCATGATGCAAAATTGGTTGTTTCGTGTTGATTTTTAAATTATTACAGTTCTACACAAAATCATTTTATGTGAAAACAACAAACAACATAGAAATGATTTCTAAAATAAACACGGTTTACAACTCGATTTTTACAAACTACGATTCGATTTACTGCTTCGGAATGACAATGGCAGTAAAAACAATAGAAATGCGATGACAGTATAAGATAGCGGCGGTAACAGCATTTAAGTAAATAATAATAATAATAAATATTAACCTGGCAGCAACTGGCGACAGGCTTCCAAGAGAAGCTTGACTGGATGATCAGGGTGAAATAACGAACTTCACAGACAGCTAGTCTTGATGTAATATGGGGCAATGGTGTAGCCTGGGGTTTAAGCGTTCGCTCCTCACGTCGAAGATCCGGGTTCGATTCCCCACATGGGTACAATGTGTGAAGCCCATTCTGGTGTCCCCAGCCGTGATATTGCTGGAATATTGCTAAAGCGGCGTAAAACTAAACTCACTGACTCACACCTTGATGTAATGTGAGATGTGATACACCTGTGTTTGCCCCACCTACTGTGTATAACCACCTCCTGGAATGTTCCACTCCATGCTGATTTAATCCATGCTGTTCAAGAAACTACTAGATTAGCCTACTGATGCTTCACAGTCCAAATACAAAAACCAACATACCACTGTCCTCCACTGAATGACAGAAACAATTAAACACAACACAGTTTTCTAATCAAACATGGGGCGGTGGGGTAGCCTCGTGCTTAAAGCGTTCGTTCGTTAT